GGGGGGGGGGCGAGCCAATCCCAATGAGCAGTCATTCCAATTTTGGAAGGATATCGCCCTATCCTCTTGTAAGCTAAAAAAAACAAAAAACCAAATTAAAAGAAAATATGGGAATCATTACAGATATGCATGATGGGGGTGGCTTTCGATAATTTGACTGTATTCCAAATGGAAATGCAATCTTTCTATGGAGTATTCCCTGCTTGTTTGTAATAGATGGACAACGAGAACAAGAAGCAAGAGACAATGTGAAACAGCAGGGAGTTGTTTCTCCATTGTGGTACGGCCCGTAGGGGCCCATAGTGTACCTACAGGTCGGGGCAGCGCTACTGCAGTTGATCTATTGTTGGCCTCCGTGTTGCAGATAGAATTTGTTTCCAATTACGGAGTAGAAAGACATGGGTATGGCTGCAACTGTAGGATTCTTCATGATGTTACCCCTGAGACTCTGTTGTCTCAACCTACAACCTAGTCTACTCCGTACTCCGTACTCCGTCTCCAGTCTATCCATGATTGTAGGAATAATCGAAACCCACCTTGGATGGCGGCACAATGTCCGAAGCTCTTACGCACTCGTACTTTGTGTCTAGTGAGTCTGACTTCACTGCATTGTTCGCGGTCCACTTTCAGGTCCCATCCCTTCGCTCTCGCTTAGTCCGAGAATAGTCAGGAGGTACCCTGACGGCGGAAAGTTCCTCCGACCTAGAACGTGGAAACTCACCCGGAGGATACGACACATGTAAGGGGAGACACACCAAAGACCAATTCGATCAAGTGTCAAAGGATCAGGGAGGCTTGGACGAGTTCCCACGGTAGCTCGGGATTGAGACCTCGATCACGAGAGTGACCACATAATCCCACAGGGCTAAGTGGGTAGGTAATCTTGGGAAAATGGAAGGCTGAACCTTGGCAGAGGTCCCAGAGACCTGGATGAGAATGGAGATGTGGCTGAATCGGAGTCTGTTCAAGCCCTACAAGGAGGTCCTTGCATTGTACTTTCTGTTCACCTTTCTCACCCACCTTTCTCACCCACCAATCAGTACACTACTCTGCCGTGCACTGGCACCGTCTAGTTCCGTTCACGTTGATAGTGCGAACTCCGGGAAACTGTAAAACCCTCGAGCCACTCTTGTTCCCCCAAGTTTCTTGACGAATCCACCATAGCGGAACTTGATGCTCCCGTACTTGCGATTGCGTTTACAACATACAGCACGGCTGTGCTTCATTTGTTCCCCAATCCCACTTTTCCATCAAGAGAGATTTCCTTCCCACGCTAGCCGGTCAGTCTAGTCTTTTAGTGTCCGCTTCTTCCCGATCCGTGGACCAATCCCGCCGTCAGCACTTGTCCAGGCGGACAAATTTCCCGAAGCACCCAGTCGTCTCGAGAGATCTGTGCTGGATTCCGATGGGTGAGGCTGGAATGAAGGTGTACAGGGACTTTGAATATCATCTGTCCGTCGGGGATGCGGTAACCCAGAATCCGATGGACTACGAATACCCCGTTCTCCCCGATCATCGGGCTTACCGGGAAGACCCGGTGTCCACACGAAAGGAAACCGCTCTGGAGCGTGACAAATAGAATCCCCCCATCTTGACGGTGCCATTATTGCCAACTATTGACGGCTTTCTACGACATACAGTATTTGAGGACAATGACGAGCTTATGCTGCTATTTCACCGGCTCCATGAGATTAGCTCATTTTCGGACTGTGTCAAGGCCTTCTCCTTGTTCTCGGACTCGAGTCGGACAACCCCCGAAAAATTCCAGGTTTAGTTGGGGAAAAAAAAAGAATCGATTCCAACGATCTGCAGGTTCCCCTCATCTTGATGATCAGGGCTCTAATTTCACATCCGCTTCTACGGTCTTTGGCCTTGCGAAGCTTTCCCCAAGTCCCACATTGGTACTCCAGGGCCAAAATAGGTGCATGGTGCATGGTGCATGGGATGGTCGCTGTCGGGGTTTGTGGATATGTTCCCACCGTGGCTCTTCCCCCTCCGGGCTGAGTCGCTCGTAGGCTTGCAGGCGTTCCGTTCCAACTCCCAAATCAGCCTCGGTCATTCTATGTTATAGAGGGTTCTGCAAATGATACCCCTTTTGATTGTGCTGACCCATCTGTAGATCCCTCCAGCCGTTGGGCTTGTTGGGGAAGCAGTCAAATCTCTACAACATACAATGTTCAGCTCTGGATCTGTTCGGACTGAGAGAGGGGCAGCTGGAGCAGGTTTGCGGACCTTGCCTTCTTAGTTCGTTACATTCCTGGAAAAGACTTGCAAATGGACAAACTCCATCCAAAGTGTACAACCGGAGCTGTGATGCGCCGATAGCGTGGATAGTGGAGACTGCAGAGGCAGCTGCTCTTGACAGCGACGGGATTGAATCCTGCTGGTCGCACCATCAGCTTCCAAGTTGTCTGCCACTGATGCAAAGCACTGTGCCTCGGACTTACCATGTACGATCGACCGGGAGAGCGGTAAAATGGATCTTGACGTTCGCATTCAAGGGGGATGACTGTGACCATTTCGAGTGGAGGCTTCAGGCTCAGGGCCAAAAAGAGAAAGTGGATTAATGCAAAGAATGACACTGCATCGAGCACACGAATCCTAGTGCGCCCCCTCTCTCAAAAAATCGCCCCCACAAAAAGAAAGAATTTCGCTAGGAAAGCTCAATTCTTCCCCCGACTGGAGCTCGACGGAGTACTCCGTAACCGGAGCCCTGATCTGTCGCATGTCCGTGCGAGAGATCTCGATCTAGGCAAAGGTCGACATTACTTCTTTTGTCGACGTGCACCTTTGGATAACTCGGCATCTGAAGATCTTGATTCTTGTCCTTCACAAACATGGCCGGAACTAGATTAAGGAAGCAGTCCCCCAGAGATCAGTCATGCAGAAACACTTTTTTGGGGGCAACACCCCTTGCTTGAAATCTGGAGAGCTGAAACACATCATGAACGCAGGTCCACAGCCAATCGGGATCGATCAACAAAGGTAAAAGGTCGATAATGCCATGCGAGTGTTCAGTATGGTTTAGTCTCCACGCGAGAAATACAGATGACATCCTTTTGGGGTTAAAAATGGTCAATCGTCACTTGAACGCTATGATCAAAATCTGTTATATATACACACTCCGTATATAATATAGAAATATAAAATATTCCCAAAAATCCCCCCCCCCCCCCCCCCCGGCCCAAAATCTGACCTTGTCCCTACTTTTGCCCCTCTCAAGGGCACACAAAGTTGAGTTCTTCTGTCTCTATACTCCGTAGTATCATTTGAGAAATTTCAAGATTCAAGCAAATTCCAACTGGGAAAACTTAACCCAGGTTCCACCTTCTGATCTGTACATTTTACATGCATGCACAACAATTCCAACGATCGCGTGGAGAGAGAGAGAGAGAGAGTCTTGTTTGCGACGGCCGA